ATGTTATAGTAGATATGAGTGGCTTTTCAAAACACGGCAAAAAGCATCCTAAGACTATAAATTCTGAGAACAACTACCATGCAGCAACAGAAGAGCGAAGGCTACCGACGTGCTTACAGTCTCCGCAAGACTCCTCTGTACAACAGCGTACTGTGGGCACCTGATAACGAACCCTTGTGTACCGTGGACTCCAAAAAATCGCACTGGTACGTTGACAATGATCTCGGCGAGGTCGTGCAAAGATCCTCTCATTGTGAGATTGAACTTCGAACCAATTGGCAGGCAGCAGAAGGAGGGCGCTGACGTACGTGTATTTCTACCTGAATGAGAGGCAGAACGTGTGTGTGGTGTGATGCAAAAAAGAGTCGTATGGTATATACAAAAAAATTCTGTTCCTCATGAATATCGCAAATATTTTCCCGAAATATTGAAGTCTCACCAGAATCACGACGTTGTCTTGCTGTGTACCGAGTGTCATCAGCCAAGCAATCAGCGTGATGGTGTTCTTCCCTATCAACTCGCTGACCAGCACGACGCGACCATCGGCAACTCTGCTGATGTCAAAGTTATTACAGACGGTAACCTCAAAGTTATCAAGTCTGCATGCAGAGCGCTCATGAAAAGACTCGCAATACCTCTATACAAGGTTAGCAGAGCTACGTAAAACGCTTCAAGATTAATTCAAAACAGATTTATTAACTGACGAGATGATTACTCAAGCCGCTGAGTTAGACGTTTTGATTTTCAATGTTTCTCATGAGCCACACGGGCTGCGAGTCTATAAATATTACGAAAAAATAGGCCTTATCTATTTCGAAGAGTTGCGGCGTGAAAATTTCTTGACTACGATGAAGCCGAAATTCGTGCCAAAGGGCTGGTCTCATAATCAAGAGAATGAAGCTGAAGATGTCTCTTTCTATTGAAGCTGAAGATGTCTCGTCATGCTTTGGTTGATTGTGTCAGGGAACAGTACAGAATAGCGCTTGCGGGGACAGAAGGAACTGTGGACGTGCCTTACGTGCCTAATTTGAGGAGACCTCAAGGGAGAAGCGATGCTTTCTGCAATGATAGTGGGACTGTGTGTGATAGTGGCCATGTTCACGATGATGGCGAGACCGAGGGTGATGATGGCGAGACCAAAGACCACGCTGAAGAGTCGGAAGAAAACGATGGGCAGACCGACGGCAATAATGAGGAGTCCGAGGACGATAATGTCGTGACCGAGGACGATAATGGCGACACCGAATACCATGACAAGATTCAATGAAACAGAAACAAGCGAAAAGCTTCATGCGATGATGAAAATCTACACGCGATATTGCTGATACGTCGTGCTACGAAATGGACTTTTGAAATCTTCTGAACGCTAGCAAATGCTACAACTACAACATTGCGCACCCGGCCGATCCGGGTGTGCAATGCATCTGGCGATTCGGTGCCGTAACGTCATCCATGCGAGCCCGATTGTAAGTTTAAGTAAAGCTGCAGGCGAAACTTCAATTTACATATTCTCGATTTGCATTCATCAAAACCAAAAATCGCGGTAAAAATATATTTCAAAACTTAAATCTTGATATTGCTTATCGGCTTGTGATACCCTGCTACTTTAAATTACAAACGGGCCTCCAGAAACATGCAGCTACATGACATAGTGTCATTGTCTATCGTCAATGTCACTGTTAAAATGGCTTGCAGTAGTATATGGTCCTGGGATGCCCAACTTTGATCATGACACTTGCTTTGCAATAAGATATCCATAAAAGGTTACTCTTTACCGTGTCTTTAGTAACTCTGATGAGTTTTGCGAGATCATTGATGCAAATCTACTCAAACCTTGCTTGCGTTTCCTAATGTGAGGAGTTTTTTTTTAAAAAGGCCTCCCACACTCACCATTCCAACAAAAAAAAGAATTGATTTTATTAATTAAAAACAGGGAATGGTTTCATGTCAATGATCAGGGCCCCGACCTTAACGCCTCTGATGGTGGCCTACACCGACTCCGAGGGTCACTGAGCTGTGACGCGAGCGAGGAGCGGGCCCACGTCGAACTTTTCTCTGAC